ACATTCACACATACATACATACATACATACATACATACATACATACACACATACAAACAAACATACATACATACATTCATACACACATACATACATACATGCACACATACTCACATACATACATAAAATACACACATAATGACATTCCTGGAGTCTTGCTCTAATGCAACCATAGTAGCAAACAACGACGATGATGATGATGATGATGGCGGTGATGATGATAATGATATCAAGGTATGATATCATTTAGACACTGACCAAAAATTCCCAAGTAAAACGACACGTAAACACAGAAGGATATTGAAACAATCAGGCCAACATATACGCATACACACATACAAACAAACAAACTCACAAACAATCCCACAAACAAACATCCAAACCCACCCTAAAAACATACAAACAAACAAACCCACAAACAAACTCACAAACAAACCCACAAACAAACTCACAAACAAACATCCAAACCCATCCTAAAAACATACAAACAAACAAACAAACCCACAAACAAACAAACATACAAACAAACATACAAAACACATATACACAAAATCAGTACCTACCTTCAGACTAAAACAACTAAACGATAAACACCCAACTGAGCTAAGACTAAATGTACCCCATGTTTAAAATACATACATATGCACACATAAAAACACACACACACATACATAAATACACATATACACACACATACATGCATACATGGTCACCGAGTTAGCTCAGTAGGTAAAAGTGCCATGCTTCGACCATAGTTTGCCAGGAACTCAAAGACCATCGTATGCGCAAAAAGCGGTGCTAGAGAGAGAGAAAGAAAAAGAGAGAGAAAAAAAAGAGAAAGAGAAAGAGAGAGGGAGAGAATGAAGAGAAAGAGAGCTTTGATAAAATTTTATCATGTATAGACATTAGCTATCTCATTGATAGATTGGAATCATACAAATCTCATTTTTCAAAATATTCCTTCCGATCAACCGAGCGCAATTTATTTCTTATCCCGACCACAAAGTTAGCGAAGGGTTCCCGCAACTTTGCAGTTCTCGGCCCGGTTATTTGGAATGGTTTACCTCCTTACTTACGTGACCCTAGCCTATCATATTTACAATTTCGAAGTCAGCTTAAAACTTATTTATTTGCACAATAAATGTCCGTCTTATTTGTCTATGAGTCAGTTAAATTTTGAGTTTCAACAATTAAAAAGCGCTGTATGTAAATTTCCGTAATAATAAGAATAATAATTAACACATTCAGTCTTTTGTTCAAATTTTCATTGGTTTCCATAGAAAACATCTTTTTTTTTTAAATTAATTATTGGTTTACACCAGCAACATTAAATTGAATTGTCTTTCTCATCTCTACATCTAGTTCATACCATGATCAACATCATCACAACCATCATCACCACAACCATCATCATCACAATCATCATCATCACAACTATCATCATATCATCATCGTCCTCGTCGTCATCATCAGCAACAAGCAACGAACATTTTTAACGATCCTCCCGGATATTTTACCGTCACAGTCGTAATCGTCATCATCTCGACCGGAAATTGACTGAAGGAGGATGACGTCATGAAGAAACTTCACGACGTCAACCGACAGTCGCCTCATGTCACTTCCGGTTTCGAAACCACATTCTATAAAGTCGTCCTTAAATCGGTTGAGCTGGTTGATATACTGTTGGATGTTGTTGTTGGCGATGATGGTGTTGTTGTTATTGTTGTTGTTGTTGGTGGTGACGTCATTGTTGCTGTTGTTGTTTATTGCGTCATAACTGTTGATGTCATGTGTAGTATTGTTGTTAGCTCTAAATGTAATGGTGTTGTTGATGTTTGGGTTTATATGAATGACGCTTTTAGTATTGTTGTTGTTGGTGTTGTTGATGTAATTAATGCTATCAATGTTTTTGCTGTCATAAGTTTTGCTGTTGTTTGTGATGATTTTGGTTTGAATGATTTTTACGTTGTTGCTGTTGATGTTATTATGATTGTTGTTGACTCTGCTGGCAAGGATGTTGTTGCAATCAACAACGCATGACGTTTTGTTGTCATCTCTAGTTGCAGTAGCACTGCTAAAACTCTTGATGTGATTGGTGTTGTTTGAGCTGCAGATGACGCCACTGCTGATTGTTGCATCGCTAGTGTTTATGGTGGTTTCGCTGATGCAATTGTTGTTGATGCAGTCGCGAATTGAATTGTTATTGTAATTATTATTGTTGTCGTTATTGTTGTTGTTGTTGTTATTGTTGTTGGTGGTGACGTCATCATTAGCATCAGAGTTTTTGTTTTTAAGGTTATTAAAGGTACGCTTTTTAAAACTGTCACTAACTGTACTTCTAACGGTACTCATATTTATCTTGTACTACTTAGAATATTTCGGTTGTAATTATTATTATTATTATTCTTATTATTATTCTTCTTATTATTTTTTTGTTGTTGTTGTAATAATTATTATCAACAATATCCTTATTTTGTTATTATTATATTATTATCCAATTAAAAATTAACAAAACAAACAAACCAGCAAACAAGGAAATTTCACTCCCAAATATTAATCCACAAACATTTTTTGCTTATATGCGTGCGTGTGCGTGTGTGTGTGTGTGCGTGTGTGTACACATTTAAGAGTGTATATATATACCAAATATGGGGGTACATACATTATATGCCACACACTCAACAAATGGCTGGAGCAGTGTAATGTGGGATGGAGAAGGGTATATATTGATTTCTTTATTGACCTAAAGAGAGGTATGTGTCTGTGTGTTTGTTTGTATGTGTATGTGAGTGTCTGTGTGTGTCTGTTACTGCTTTCACTCTCTCTTACGTGATTGGTTGAGCAAATGAATGAATGAATGGATGGATGGATGGATGGATGGATGGAATGTTTGAATGAATGAATGTCTGTCTGAACGAATGTATGAATAAATGAATGAATGAATGTATGAATGCATGTGTGAAAGAATGTATGAATGAATGACTGAATGAACGAATGAGCAAAAAATTAAAAGATGACAGTTGTAATCAGGATATAGAAATATAACGACAGATATCTGTATCATACTTACTGATACACTTTTTATAAATTTTTATAAGATAGCCTAACTTGAATCCAAGTGTTTAATATTTGATTATCTTTATATATCTTCACCGATATATATATATATATCACACCATATATCGTATCATATAAAAATCCCATCATAAACTATATCATATATATATATATATGTATATCATATCATGTCATATATAAACATATATATATATATATATATATCATATATATACATAGTATCAACAACAACAACAACAACACACGTTTAGACGGCATTTTCCCCGAGATCGGGGGTTGCCGTTTGGCTACCTATGATGAAACCGAAATACCCCTCGACTCCATCCACATCTGTCACTCGCCTCAGTATCACGCAACCCCGCTTTCACCCTGTCCTTCTCCACCTGCTCTCTCCATCCCAATCGCGGACGACCCCTTCCTACCACTCCTTCAACCTCGAACTCCAACGCTCGCCTAATCCCGACCCTTTCATCCCTTCTCAACACATGTCCATACCACCGCAATCTCGATCTCCTTATCAATGTCACAATGTCCTCATTCAGTCCCATCATTGACATCAGCTCTGTACTACTCCTCCTATCCTTCACTTTAACCCCACACATCATCCTCACCATAGCTCTTTCAGCCCTCTGCAGTACACTTTCCTCCTCTCTCCTCAACACCCAAGTTTCACCACCATATATCATCGCTGCTCTCACACATGCTTTATA